AGGTGCCACAGAACTGAAGGTAAAAGGGTACACACCCATGGGCTCCACAACTGGGGGGGAAGGGTGACATCCCCCATGCACCACCCCCCAACAGCACGGGAAATGGGACAATATCCGTGAACACCCTAAAACTTAGGAGAAATAGGGAATCCTCCTGAGCACTCCAAACTGGATGGGAAAGGTATAACCTGCCCCTGGGCCCCCTAGGTTGGGATGGGGAAATGGGGTCCCCCCAGTACCCAATATGGGAGGAAAGAGAACACAAATTCCCACAAACTGTGGGAAAAAATAGGACCCACCCCAAGGAGAAATGGGGACCTCCTCCAGTTTTTTGAGGGGTAAACAGGGAGCCTCACTGGAGCCCCTAAAAGGGTAGTGGAATTAGGATGCCCTCAAACCCCCTCCAGGGCTGGCCAGGGACCCTCAAAAGCCCCTCCCTACGACCCTCCACTTTGGATCAGAGGTATAATGGGGACCCTCCCAACCTCCCCAGGGACTTCCCCTATACAGCCCAGGAGTATAATAGGGACCTCCCCCACCACCCCTGGACGCCCACCATGCAGCCTGAGGCATATAACAAGGACCTCCAAACCCTGCCTGGGAACCCACATGCAGCCCAAGGGTACAACAGCGACACCCCACTCCCCTGGAACACTCCACTGTGGGCCTAGAGTACAAGGGAGACACCATCCCTTGGGGACCCTCCCTTGAGTCTCTGGGGTGCCATGGAGACCCCTGCTGCCCCCTCCAACCTGTGGCTAGGCCCTCAGCAGTCGCAAGGTGGAGGATGGTGTCATCGCTGACAGGCCACTCGGGGGGCTCAAGGGTGATAGCCTCCAGCCCCCCCAGCTCAGCCAGCTCAACGTGGATCTGGGGTCCCGAGGTGCAGTACTCCCAGCGGCCCCCCCGGTACCCAAGCGCATCCCCCACTCCACTCAGCACCATGGCCGCTTCGTAGACTTCCACCAAGGGCACCCTGGGGGACAAAGTGGGGCTGCAGGTGGGTGTCAGTGGGGAGGGGGAAGGGGGGCAGTGCGAGGAGCCCCTCGGGGCACTTACTTCTCCTCCATAGCAGTAGCAGCTGGGGACGCCCATCAGGTTCTGGGCACGGGACCAGCACTGGCCAGAAGCCCTTAAGGAGGACAGAGACACCCTGGGGCCTGGGGGGGAAGGGGACGTGGGCACTGTCCCCATGCTGATGGAGATGAGTGCTGAGGGACCCCAGGGCCTCTGTCCCTGAGGGGTGGCAGAGAG